CTTCATATGACGGGAAGGACCGATTAAGCTGTGCCCATATGTCTCGCCCGTTTCTTAGAAGTTCGTCAGACTCGTAATCTGGTATTAAAAATTTACTTTAATTATGAACAAATTTGTTCATTATTATTATTATTATTATTATTATTATTATTATTATTATATTGGGTCTTGGAACACAGGTTGTGGTTACTTTAGTTGGACAGTAATTTGTAGTGGTCTTATTTTGTAGAGGGAATGTGGGTAAATCATAGAATTTGGAATATAAGTGGGTAAAATAATTTTGAGAAATGATTTGTGGGGTTTGATGTGTACTATGTACTATGTTTAATCCTTTTGACACATACTAATACTTACTTAGCAACTTTTGATTTTCATATAACATATAACATCTATTGTGTATTATCCATGCAAAATAATCAAACATTTGTGAAGGTCATGGTGAGGACACCATGAAAGGGGGGAATGTGGGGATAATGAATTTACTACTATTATAATCAATAAGAAATCCATAATAATAAGCTAAAAATTTGATTAACAAAAGTGTATTAATCCTCTCACTAAGGAAAGGCCTTGCTGTGTGTAAGATAGGGGATTTTCTCATGAGAAAGTCCTGAAGTTTAGAAGCATCTAGAAGCTACTGTGCTTTGTTGCAAGAACAAGCTGGCCTGTGAGAGGGGAGGTAAAGCTGATAGGAAACTAAACAGTATCAGTGTTGGAACCAGTTTAAAAAGATCAAATTTAATTAAAAACCTTGAGAAGATGAGGGCAGCTTAGGACAGCTGAGCATGCAAGTTTTTAAAAATCAAGGACACGTGTGGAAATAAGAGTTTCTAACTCTTGTCTAAGTGTAGGAATAGGAAATAATGGGAACCAAAGTGAACTGAGAAAAGGTGAGAGGGAGGGGGTGATTACTTCATCGCCCCAAACAGGGTATAAAAATGATGTTTCTGTAATGTACTTTGCATTTGGCTGTCTGGGAGCCATTTTGCCACCTGAAGCTCAATAAATGAAGAGGGGCTTTTCCTTCCTTCACAAAGAACTCAACGGCTGAAGTCTTTTATTCAACTTTCCTTTATTTTTGACTGAACTTTATTTTATTCTGCTTTTGATTAGAAAGAGCAATTAGATTAATTAAAAAACTAAAACAGAGTTATAGAACAGATTAGTGTTTAATTATCCATATGTTGGGGCTTTGAGCGAGCGGGAATCACACTTAGTCCCGACAGATGCATGCCCTGATATTGAAGGGTCAGGTGTCAGTGCTCAAAACTGCATTCCAGCTGATGTGAGACTTCTGCATCATCACTGAATATGGGCCTGATTTCTCAACAGACATTGTTTATAGCTGTGAGAATGTAAGATAGGGACCAACTGATAAACTGTCACCAATATTGATTTTAAGGAGCAGAAAAATGTAGATAAAAGGACAGTCAGCCAATATTAATATTTGTGATTAAAAACTTTTTGTTGTTTTTCTTTTTAAATTTCCTAAATGCAAACAGACAAAAAATTTAAGGATAAAAATATTATAGGCTGAAAATCAGTTACAAATAATATAAAATAAATCTGTATTAGTGCAATTAGATTATATCGGAATTGAATATCTTAAATATTTGTTCCCATGTCAATGCAGGCCCTATTTTAGGCCTTGGCTTCCTGTACCACTGAAAGCAGCTGATACCAATAATATTGCAGAACTTGAGTACTGGCCAGCCAATATGTTGGTCAGGCCCTTGTGTAAAGGCACAGCATGAGCTGGCTAGTGCTGCCTGTAGATGCAGAGTCAGATGACACTGACACATAATGTATATTTGAAAATCTGCTGATTCCAGACTGAGCTGATTACTTGTTTCTGTGTTCCTGTGTGGAGTCAGGGTTACTTTTAGTGCGCTGCTTGTTGCCTCAGGTGATACTAAATAAGTTTGGTGTACATAAATTCTAAATTGGTTTGAGTTTATACAACTTGCAACAGCGAGTCATGACAACTTAAAGTACTGAGGATACTACATGTTACTTGACGAAACACATTTAAATGAGTTTGGTGCTCTTGAGTTAAAATCTGCTTTTTTGAGTTTACATAACTTTGTGCAACAAAGTTTTCCTTACTTAAAAACTGATTGCAGAATGTTGACTTTTTTTTGATGATGTCTCCTCAGATTTTTTACAGTGTGCTAAAACTGGAAGCCATGACTGACAATTAAAGTGTTCCTAATAACTCTGGTGAACTTAAAAACATTAAATATGAATGGAAATATATTTCAGTTACATTTCACACTTAATAATTTCTAGGGGTGCTAACAACTGTGGTACACATAGATTTGAGAAAATATTTAGTTCAAGAAAAAAATTTTTTTTTTTCTTTTAATTATTTTGCCTTAAATAAAGGTTAGAGTTTGGTAAGTGTTTTAAATGAAAGATTAAAAGAATGAGAAATAAGGAATGTTCTTTACAGTCCATTTTATTCATGTTAACAGGGGTGCCAATATTTGTGGAGGACTGTATTTTCTATTTTTATTTTTATTACTGGTATTATAGATGATCCTGATAGTAGTTTTGGTTAGTAATCCTCAAATTAAGCATGTTCAGGATAAATATTACTCTCAGATTTACTCACTCCTACCAGACGAGAGTTTGATCATACGGATACACTAAAGATCAATATCAGAACAGTCAGTGAAATCTGCCTGCGCTCATTTTATGATCAGATTTGAGTGCAGCTTTGATGAATAAAGTCTATTGTGTCCTTGTTTCCTAATAAGGCTGTGTCTTGTTGTAGAAACAGACTGAACTGTTCTGGAGCTGCTGCCTCTGTTCCTGTTCAGTGTGACTCTCATCTCCAAACACCCATTTCAGGATGGAGCTCTGTAACAGTTCTGACTGTGAACAGATCCTCTGCTGTTCCACTGTTTACATGTGTGGATCTCCTTCAGCTCCACACTGATTCAGTGGATCATACAGTATCAGATTCTCTGATTAAATAAAAGAAAACAATAAGAAATGAAATAACTCCACTTTACCTCTTTCCTGTCTTTCCTCTTCTTTCCTTTTTCTTTCTGTAAACAGAGAAGTATAATAATGAACACAGGCACATGTGAACAGACAGTCAGCAGCTGTGTGGTGTGTTGTACAGGCAGCAGATGTTTCTAGGATTAGATTACTGCTTATATTCTGACACTGTGTGTGTGAAATGTATTAAAGTAGAAATTGTATGTTGATTATGAAAGAAAAAAGATCAATTTCCCCCCAAATTATTAATTTCAGAGTCTTACTCCATAAACCTGGTTCAGTGAACAGACTGTATGAACTAGTGTGACTAACAGGGCTGAGAGGGTCACTTTAAACTGTAGTCCAGTACAGATACTGACCACCTGTTAATAATATAAACAGTAACCAAATAATCCAAAGGGCTACTATAATAAAGTAGTGTAATTAATCTCTCTTGTGAGAGTAAGTGTGTGACTGACATCCAAAGCTATTATCTTCACTGGGCATCATGAAAAAATGACTCTACTTTTACACATTTCAGATGAATCCTAACTAACCTGAGCTGTCGAATCTCACAGTTTAGTTAAGAAGGGCTCATTATAGTCTGGACTACAGGACTTGGACTATAAAATAAACAAGACCAAGATTATTTACTTAGTGAAGCTTAAAGTCATGGACAGCATGTTTCCTCACATTTACTGTACCCTGATGTCCACAGTGACAGATGAACTCTGTGGTGTTCCTGATAAAACGGTCACTCAGCTAAAGGCTTAATTCACACATCTCTGATCCTTTCACTCTCTGACACGTTCAGACTGAAGATTCTCCACAGACAGGAGCTGAGTGCTCTTCAGTAGAGTTTGTGTATCATTAAAATCCAAAAGCTCCACTTTCAGTGATCCTAAAACACTGTTTTTGTGTGGTCAGGAGGTCAAAACACAGAGAGAGAACACTTTCAAAAGATATCCATATCCATGTGAACGAGCAGGTCTGTGTTCATTAGAGCACCAGCAGTGAATATTATACAGTATAATTTAGCCGTGCAGTACAGATGAAAACACAGCTCACTGCTTCAGTCAGCACTGTTTACTGAGATAAACTAAAACACAGCTCACTGCTTCAGTCAGCACTGTTTACTGAGACAAATCAAAACAGAGCTCACTGAAAAGCAGAAGACATGCTGTTTTAACTCTGGGCTACAGTGTCACTGTGCTTTACTCTCCATGCTGAGCTTCAGTCATTTTCAGCTGTGAATGTGTTTCTCTGGATCCTCACTCTGACAGTCACTCTGCTGTCAAAGCTGAGCTCAGTTTAACTCACCTTACAGGACACTGTCTTCATAAATGGTGTGAATGTAAAGTGTTTCCACATTTTTGACTTTTTTTGTGCAGAACCCTGTACTGTAATCTCTGCCTTCTGATGACCAGTAAAGAATGTTCTTTACAGACCGTTTTATTTGTGTTTACAGAGGTGTCGATATTAGTGAAGTGCACTGTATTTCCTATTTATATTGATATTACAGATGATCCTGATAGTAGTTTTGGTTAGTAATCCTCAAATTAAGCATGTTCAGGTTAAAACATTACACTCAGATTTACTCACACTCCTACCGGACGAGAGTTTGATTGTGCAGATACACCACAGATGAAACTGATCAATAACAGAACAGTCAGTGAAATCTGCCTGCGCTCATTTTATGATCAGATTTGAGTGCAGCTTTGATGAATAAAGTCTATTGTGTCCTTGTTTCCTAATAAGGCTGTGTCTTGTTGTAGAAACAGACTGAACTGTTCTGGAGCTGCTGCTCTGTTCATGTTCAGTGTGACTCTCATCTCCAAACACCCATTTCAGGATGGAGCTCTGTAACAGTTCTGACTGTGAACAGATCCTCTGCTGTTCCACTGTTTACATGTGTAGATCTCCTTCAGCTCCACACTGATTCAGTGGATCATACAGTATCAGATTCTCTGATTAAATAAAAGAAAACAATAAGAAATTAAATAACTCCACTTTACCTCTTTCCTGTCTTTCCTCTTCTTTCCTTTTTCTTTCTGTAAACAGAGAAGTATAATAATGAACACAGGCACATGTGAACAGACAGTCAGCAGCTGTGTGGTGTGTTGTACAGGCAGCAGATGTTTCTAGGATTAGATTACTGCTTATATTCTGACACTGTGTGTGTGAAATGTATTAAAGAAGAAATGACATACTGTGTTCAACAAAGAGGAAAAAGACCCATTTAAAACTATTTCCCCCAAAATAATCATTTCAGAGTCTTACTCCATAAACCTGGTTCAGTGAACAGACTGTATGAACTAGTGTGACTAACAGGGCTGAGAGGGTCACTTTAAAATGTAGTCCAGTACACATACTGACCACCTGTTAATAATATAAACAGAAACCTAATAATCCAAAGGATTACTACATTAATATAATGTAATGTTCTTGTGAGAGTAAGTGTGATGCTGGACTCCAAACGTCTTATTTTGACGACGCAAGTTGGCCTGTTTCACAAGAGGCCTAACTAACCTGCCAAACAAACGTACAGAGCTGTGGAGTCTCACAGTTTAGTTAAGAACTGCTGGTTATAGAGGCAGCTTATTTATTTAACAGGTCAGGACTGCAGGACTATAAAACAGAAGAGAATTCAGTTTACAGGACCAAGATTATTTACTTAGTGAAGCTTAAAGTCATGGACAGCATGTTTCCTCACATTTACTGTACCCTGATGTCCACAGTGACAGATGAACTCTGTGGTGTTCCTGATAAAACGGTCACTCAGCTAAAGGCTTAATTCACACATCTCTGATCCTTTCACTCTCTGACACGTTCAGACTGAAGATTCTCCACAGACAGGAGCTGAGTGCTCTTCAGTAGAGTTTGTGTATCATTAAAATCAAAAAGCTCCACTTTCAGTGATCCTAAAACACTGTTTTTGTGTGGTCAGGAGGTCAAAACACAGAGAGAGTACACTTTCAAAAGATATCCATATCCATGTGAACGAGCAGGTCTGTGTTCATTAGAGCACCAGCAGTGAATATTATACAGTATAATTTAGCCGTGCAGTACAGATGAAAACACAGCTCACTGCTTCAGTCAGCACTGTTTACTGAGATAAACTAAAACACAGCTCACTGCTTCAGTCAGCACTGTTTACTGAGATGAGCTAAAACACAGCTCACTGCTTCAGTCAGCACTGTTTACTGATAAACTAAAACACAGCTCACTGCTTCAGTCAGCGCTGTTTACTGAGCTAAACTAAAGCACAGCTCACTGCTTCAGTCGGCGCTGTTTACTGAGATAAACTAAAACACAGCTCACTGCTTCAGTCAGCGCTGTTTACTGACATAAACTAAAACACAGCTCACTGCTTCAGTCAGCGCTGTTTACTGAGATAAACTAAAACTGCTCACTGCTTCAGTCAGCGCTGTTTACTGAGATAAACTAAAACACAGCTCACTGCTTCAGTCAGCACTGTTTACTGAGATAAACTAAAACTGCTCACTGCTTCAGTCAGCACTGTTTACTGAGATAAACTAAAACACAGCTCACTGCTTCAGTCAGCACTGTTTACTGAGATAAACTAAAACACAGCTCACTGCTTCAGTCAGCACTGTTTACTGAGCTAAACTAAAACACAGCTCACTGCTTCAGTCAGCGCTGTTTACTGAGATAAACTAAAACTGCTCACTGCTTCAGTCAGCGCTGTTTACTGAGATAAACTAAAACACAGCTCACTGCTTCAGTCGGCGCTGTTTACTGAGATAAACTAAAACACAGCTCACTGCTTCAGTCAGCACTGTTTACTGACATAAACTAAAACACAGCTCACTGCTTCAGTCGGCGCTGTTTACTGACATAAACTAAAACACTGCTCACTGCTTCAGTCAGCACTGTTTACTGAGATAAACTAAAACACAGCTCACTGCTTCAGTCAGCGCTGTTTACTGAGATAAACTAAAACACAGCTCACTGCTTCAGTCAGCGCTGTTTACTGAGCTAAACTAAAACACAGCTCACTGCTTCAGTCAGCGCTGTTTACTGACATAAACTAAAACACAGCTCACTGCTTCAGTCAGCGCTGTTTACTGAGATAAACTAAAACACAGCTCACTGCTTCAGTCAGCACTGTTTACTGAGATAAACTAAAACACAGCTCACTGCTTCAGTCAGCACTGTTTACTGAGATAAACTAAAACACAGCTCACTGCTTCAGTCGGCGCTGTTTACTGAGATAAACTAAAACACAGCTCACTGCTTCAGTCAGCACTGTTTACTGAGATAAACTAAAACACAGCTCACTGCTTCAGTCAGCGCTGTTTACTGAGATAAACTAAAACACAGCTCACTGCTTCAGTCAGCGCTGTATACTGAGATAAGCTACAACACAGCTCACTGCTTCAGTCAGCACTGTTTACTGAGATAAGCTAAAACACAGCTCACTGCTTCAGTCAGCACTGTTTACTGATAAACTAAAACACAGCTCACTGCTTCAGTCAGCGCTGTTTACTGAGCTAAACTAAAGCACAGCTCACTGCTTCAGTCAGCGCTGTTTACTGAGCTAAACTAAAGCACAGCTCACTGCTTCAGTCAGCGCTGTTTACTGAGCTAAACTAAAACACAGCTCACTGCTTCAGTCAGCACTGCTTACTGAGATAAACTAAAACACAGCTCACTGCTTCAGTCAGCACTGCTTACTGAGATAAACTAAAACACAGCTCACTGCTTCAGTCAGCACTGTTTACTGAGATAAACTAAAACACAGCTCACTGCTTCAGTCAGCGCTGTTTACTGACATAAACTAAAACACTGCTCACTGCTTCAGTCAGCACTGTTTACTGAGATAAACTAAAACACAGCTCACTGCTTCAGTCGGCGCTGTTTACTGACATAAACTAAAACACAGCTCACTGCTTCAGTCAGCGCTGTTTACTGAGATAAACTAAAACACAGCTCACTGCTTCAGTCAGCACTGTTTACTGACATAAACTAAAGCACAGCTCACTGCTTCAGTCGGCGCTGTTTACTGACATAAACTAAAACACTGCTCACTGCTTCAGTCAGCACGGTTTACTGAGATAAACTAAAACACAGCTCACTGCTTCAGTCAGCACTGTTTACTGACATAAACTAAAACACAGCTCACTGCTTCAGTCGGCGCTGTTTACTGACATAAACTAAAACACAGCTCACTGCTTCAGTCGGCACTGTTTACTGACATAAACTAAAACACAGCTCACTGCTTCAGTCAGCGCTGTTTACTGAGATAAACTAAAACACAGCTCACTGCTTCAGTCAGCGCTGCTTACTGAGATAAACTAAAACACAGCTCACTGCTTCAGTCAGCACTGCTTACTGAGATAAACTAAAACACAGCTCACTGCTTCAGTCAGCACTGCTTACTGACATAAACTAAAACACAGCTCACTGCTTCAGTCAGCGCTGCTTACTGACATAAACTAAAACACAGCTCACTGCTTCAGTCAGCACTGCTTACTGAGCTAAACTAAAACACAGCTCACTGCTTCAGTCAGCACTGTTTACTGAGATAAACTAAAACACAGCTCACTGCTTCAGTCGGCGCTGTTTACTGACATAAACTAAAACACAGCTCACTGCTTCAGTCAGCACTGTTTACTGACATAAACTAAAACACAGCTCACTGCTTCAGTCAGCACTGTTTACTGAGCTAAACTAAAACACAGCTCACTGCTTCAGTCAGCACTGTTTACTGAGCTAAACTAAAACACAGCTCACTGCTTCAGTCGGCGCTGTTTACTGACATAAACTAAAACACAGCTCACTGCTTCAGTCGGCGCTGTTTACTGACATAAACTAAAACACAGCTCACTGCTTCAGTCGGCACTGCTTACTGAGATAAACTAAAACACAGCTCACTGCTTCAGTCAGCGCTGTTTACTGAGATAAACTAAAACACAGCTCACTGCTTCAGTCAGCACTGTTTACTGAGATAAACTAAAACACAGCTCACTGCTTCAGTCAGCACTGCTTACTGACATAAACTAAAACACAGCTCACTGCTTCAGTCAGCACTGCTTACTGACATAAACTAAAACACAGCTCACTGCTTCAGTCAGCGCTGCTTACTGAGATAAACTAAAACACAGCTCACTGCTTCAGTCAGCGCTGCTTACTGAGATAAACTAAAACACAGCTCACTGCTTCAGTCAGCACTGCTTACTGACATAAACTAAAACACAGCTCACTGCTTCAGTCAGCACTGCTTACTGAGCTAAACTAAAACACAGCTCACTGCTTCAGTCAGCACTGCTTACTGAGCTAAACTAAAACACAGCTCACTGCTTCAGTCAGCACTGCTTACTGAGATAAACTAAAACACAGCTCACTGCTTCAGTCAGCGCTGTTTACTGAGCTAAACTAAAGCACAGCTCACTGCTTCAGTCCGCTGTTTACTGAGCTAAACTAAAACACAGCTCACTGCTTCAGTCAGCACTGTTTACTGATAAACTAAAACACAGCTCACTGCTTCAGTCAGCGCTGTTTACTGAGATAAACTAAAACACAGCTCACTGCTTCAGTCAGCACTGTTTACTGAGATAACTAAAACACAGCTCACTGCTTCAGTCAGCACTGTTTACTGAGATAAACTAAAACACAGCTCACTGCTTCAGTCAGCACTGTTTACTGACATAAACTAAAACACAGCTCACTGCTTCAGTCAGCGCTGTTTACTGAGCTAAACTAAAACACAGCTCACTGCTTCAGTCGGCGCTGTTTACTGACATAAACTAAAACACAGCTCACTGCTTCAGTCGGCGCTGTTTACTGAGATAAACTAAAACACAGCTCACTGCTTCAGTCGGCGCTGCTTACTGAGATAAACTAAAACACAGCTCACTGCTTCAGTCAGCACTGCTTACTGACATAAACTAAAACACAGCTCACTGCTTCAGTCAGCACTGCTTACTGACATAAACTAAAACACAGCTCACTGCTTCAGTCAGCACGGTTTACTGAGCTAAACTAAAACACAGCTCACTGCTTCAGTCAGCACTGTTTACTGACATAA